AGCCACAGCACAACAGGTGCCCAAACTCTGAGCACACCTGGCCTTCTCGCCTTCCTCGAAATCCTTCCCCTCCCAGCAGCTCTCCAATGCCAGTTCTCATAGCAGAAGCTCCCATGTCCCTGCATGCACCAGGCACTGCGCTGGTGTCCATATGCATGCACATAAGTGTATGCATGGGCACTCTCGTGCATGCTCGTGAGTGCCCGTGCGCACACACGCACACACACACACACAGTTTTAAATGCAAGGAGTAGGAAACCAGCTGATGCGTAACATCCAAAACAGAGCAGGCACAGGATCAGGGACTCTTCTCAATTCTGCATGTTGCATCTGTGGGTGACAGAGAACCCCTGATAACTTTGCCCCGGAAGGGGCAATAGAGGTTTTTCAGGAGGAAGGGGCATGAATTATATTAGAAGGGTGTTAGTTGCTCTTCTCATTACGGTGATGAAATGCCTGACAGGAAACTTAAGAAAAGAAAAGCTTACTATGGCTTACAAGTCAAGGGGATCAGTCCATCATGATGGGGAAGATAGGTCTTCGGGCAGGGAAGCCAGGCCAAAGATAACACAGTTAACAGGAAGTAGGGCTGGGCTCACGAAGCCAGGTGAGCCACTTCCTCCACCAATGGGGAACGTTTCACACTGAGACCACAATAAGAGAGGATCATTTTGGAAGCTGTTGGAAGCCGTTGAATAAGAGGAGAGGCATCCTGGGGGAAGCTCCTTGGAGGCGTAGCAATCCCCAGTGCCTCTGCTTCAATGGCATCTCTTACGCTAATGAGCAAATGGCGGAAGAGCAGAGGCGGATAACACTGGAGGGTAGGGCAGCTTAGCAGGCACGGCCTGCAGGATGAAGGGGTTCCACAGGGGCATCCACTCAGAATCACCTGCTCAGAGCTGTAAATCTGACTGCAGATGATGGTTTATCTCTGCTAACGTGATTGGGTTCAGACCCACCCAGGAGACTAACCTCTGAATATGTCTGTGAGAATCTTTCCAGCGAGGTGCAGCCAGGAGGGATGTGTTAGTTACCTCCTTGCTGTGGTGATAAAACACCACGACCAAAGCCAAAAGCAGCTTGTAGGAGAAAGAGTTTCTTTTGTCTTATGGTTCCAGAGGGATGGCTACCAGTCCCTCACGATGAGGAGGGAGGCACAATAGTGAGCTGAGCCCTCTCATCTTCAGACACCAAGCCTAAAGTAGAGAGAGAGAGCAAACTGAGAGCAGGACCAGGCTGCGTGATCTCAGATCCCATCCCCAGCGATGTACCAGCGAGGATGTACCAGCTAAATCTCCCCACACACACCCACCTACGGAGAACCAAGAATTCCAATACCAGTTATGGGGGACACTTCCCATCCAAACCTCCACAAGAAAAGAGCCACCCAGAATGTGAACACCATCGCACGGGGTGGGGGTCTCCTGGGGGTACAGAAAAGGAAACCGCAAGCCGAGCACATTCCAGAGATCTCCCACCACCCGCTTTTCCTTGCACGGCGCTCTGTACCCCCTCTTAAATCATAAGCCAACCCCTTCCCAACCTTAAGCAGTTTCTTGTCAGGCGTTAGTGGAAACAATGAGAAAAGTAACTCATAGTGTGAGTCCCTGGGCCTCCTAGCCAAATCTTTCATTTTATTGATCTCTACACTGAAGGCTGAGAAAAGGAAGGGGCCTGCCCAAGGCCACCCCCCTTCTCAGAAGCTGAGCCAGGTTCAGAGGGAAGAGGTCGTGTCCTGTCCACTTGAACCCCAGCTCCTGACACCACTCCCCACCCCTCATTTATCCCAGAAAGCTAACTTGCCTGGTCTTCTCACTTAGCCTGGATTCAAGGACCAAGGGGGAAAGCTTGCTGAACAGTAAATAAAGGAACAGGGGTTGGGGAAGGCTCAGTAACCGCAAATCTCTTTAGAATTTTAAAAGGAGCTGGGGAATATTGACATGAATTAAATCCAATAAAACATTCATTTAATTAAACTTTAAATGATCCAAATATTTGCTGTTTGGTTAATATTTGTGTAGCTGACAGGAGCAGAATTACGATGTTTCTGTGGGTACCCACGCATTCTAATTTTGCATGAGTTTTTTCCTGCACCAACTATATGTCTTCATACATACAAATGATGGGGAACTCAACCAGCGAAGACGCATCACCCGGCTGCCTCAGCCACCCAGGGACGGGAAGGTCACGGAAGGCTCCCACTCCCCAGACCCCGGGGTATCTGCCTTGTTTGTATTTGGCCCTATGTTCCAGGTTCTACTAGACCTTTTGTGAAAATTGTGACCTTGGGGCAAGGTGGGGGGAGTCCCCTGGAGGAGAGGAATCCTACAGTTCATGTTAGAACCCGATCCTACATGAAAGCCAGTACTTGCAGCCCAGTACTCTAACCCGTCAGATTGCCAGACTCTCGTGCTCTACTTTCCCAGCGCTCTCCTGTTTTGGAAGGCAGTGGCTCCCAGGCCTCACAGAAGCCTCAGGATGGCCACTGTACTCACAAGAGTCTGCAGTAGTCCAAACAGAGGAGCGGCACCATGCGTTAGTTACCTAGGGACGTGATGCAGGAAGCTGGGGAAATCACAGCAGGGCAGTGGGGAGCTCGGGAGGCCCAGCAGAAGCCTTGTCTCCTGCCAGGGCCGCCCTGTGGTGGTCAGTGATCACTCGGCTTGTCTCTCTGGTCTTGAGGAGGTCAGATGCAGAGAGAGTGATGATGATCCCTTTTGTACCTGGCATCACTTCTTCTCCGGGGCACTGAGCACTCACTCCGTTGGCAAGCCTGGTCCATGCTGAGGCATGGATGTCCTGAGTATGAACAGAGCTTCTCTGTGCAGCTTCATCCCAGCCATCTTCCAGGCCATAGCATAGTCTCTCTCCTGCTGCCCCCCAGTACCAACCAGCAAGGCTTCCAGGCTACAAAGGTCATCTCTGGCCCCCACCCAAGCTGAGCCTCCCCACGACCCCTCTGAGCCAGCCACTAGCACACCCTAAGGGTCTGGCTCACAGGATGTGGGAAGGAGGATACTGTAGCTTTCAGAGCCCCTCAGGATCCCTTCCTCTACACACCTGGGAGGCTCCTTATTACTCCCATGGTCCCCTGGAGCAAAAGCAGCAAGCATTCCACCCATCTTCTTGCTTCTGGAGCACAGTGGTCATCTGATGAGGAAGAATTCCTTTCTCTTAACTGAGCTCCAAGGTCCCAGAGCTCAGCAAGAACTGAACAATAATTTCATCAAATTCTCTCTCTCTCTCTCTCTCTCTGGCTCTCCCACTCACTCTCTCTTTCTTGCTCTCTCTCCCTACCTTCCTCTCTCTTCCCCCCTCTTTTTCTCTCCATTCTCTCTCTCTCTCTCTCTCTCTCTCTCTCTCTCTCTCTCTCTCTCCTTCCCTCCCTTCCTGACCCTTTCTCCCTTACACACTCTCTTCCCTCATACCCTCCTCACCCTTTTCTGAGTCTGCAAAGCCTGCTTCTTGGTCTAGCTATGCAGTCTTTTTCCTACCCTGAGCAATAACACTCCTGGCCCAGAGGTGGGAGGGCAGCAGGCAGACCGTGATTTAAGAGGAAACTTGAAATGCACCACTATAATGTTTGTGAAATATTATGCCGGCCGCATCCACATCTATCACTTGGTGCTTATCGTTCCTTGTGCTGGCTCCTTTGCTCCAGTCACATTTTTCCAGGGTGCGACCCTCCCCACCGGCCTCTTGGCTCTTGGGCTCCTTTCTTTTCATTTACTCCGTTCTTCACCCATCCATCCGACAAGCACCGAGGAAACCATCCTGCCCATTTTCATGGGTGCAGGGCAGGGCCAGTAAATGGCAAGGAAGGCACTTGGCTGCTGCAGATCTGACCTTAGGCACCTGCTTTCAACTCTGCAGTGCCACAGCTGCGCCTCTGTCCTCTCCTGCTCCCCTCCCCTGCGTCCTGGCAAGAGAGCATGCAGTCCAGATGCAGAGCCTGAGGCGGTGCCACTCCAGCTCCTGGCTCCCAGCATCCCACAGAGCTCAGCTTTATGCTCTGTTTCTGACACTTTGGAGAACATGTCTGTCAAGGGACCTGTGTCCCAGTACAATGGCATCGTGAGATAGCGTAGCAACTTGAAATTTTGCCAGCACCTTCAACTACATGTAGATACGCACACCCAAGCCAACCTGCCTCCCCAGCCCCTCGGTGGACATAGAGGAGGAAAAGGGAGACACCCACCCCGTTCCTCCCGCTCTAGCCTAGCCCCGTGTCTGTGTTGAGCAGCCTGGGTTTGATTAAATTTTCATAAGTCCTGAGAGTTTCAGAACGCCTGGGGGTGGTGTGGAAATATTTTAGATCCTTCTATATTTGCCTAAAAAATGACCAATCTCCATGCCAGCTAACATGTGAAAATGGCAAGGATTCATAATTTGGCCAGCCTGAAGTATACTTGAAAAGAAAAATAATGATAATGAAAGGCCACAGTGCATGGTCACAAAACAGAAATCCAAATCCAAGCTCCGTGAATCTTCAGACAGAAACAGACCTTCAAAGGTCAGCCACTTCGTTCTCCAGACCTCAGACAGTGCAACCTTTAAGCCAGCCCCAGATGGACGACGTACCTGCCGGCTCACCAACAGACCTTGACCGTACTCACCAGGTTCCAACTCCATTAAGCCAGAGGGCTCTGTACAGCATCCCCCACAGCCAGCCGTGTGCTCTCTCTGCTGGGTGGGCCTTATGGACCCCTGGCAACTGGTGTTTTCAACTCCACTCACGAGCCCACAGCCCAGATGTTTCCCCATGCACCGTATTCGTGGTTCCTGGCTATCTCTGACGCGTGGAACCTTTCAGACGTCAGACATCATTGTAACCCCTGGCCTAGCAAAGATGTCTGTCAGTGCATTTGGTTGGCACATTAGAAACCATTTCCGGGAGCCCAGAGCTCGCCTTGGCCCTGCCCTTGAGTGGATCCATGACCATTCACCTAGAGTTGAGCTTTGACCCCTGTGCCTGACCCCTCTCTCCTCTCCCTCTGCAGAGGTGATTCAGCTGAGCCTCGCCCCCGAGGACAAGGTCAGTGTGACCACGGTGACTGTGGGGCTAAGCACAGTGCTGACTTGTGCCATTCGTGGAGACCTGAAGCCACCCATTATCTGGAAGCGCAATGGGCTCAGCCTGAGCTTCCTGGGCCTGGAAGACATCAGTGTAAGTCACCCAGCATTCATCCCGAGCGCGAGCATACGTCCTGGGAACGCCAACGTGCAGAACCCCATGTGGCAGTAGTGGCAGAGGGCTTCCATTTAACAGGTCCAGGTCAGCCTGACAGCTTTAGAGGATCCAAGTCCCTGCATGTACAGAGGACAAGATGGAAGACAGTCATCATCCTGACGGTGGCATGTCCAGTCAAAGGGGAGGGGTTTCCAACTGGGAGGCCCATGGCCAGGGCAGGTGGCACCTGGCCAGAGCCATGTTTTACCAAAGGCCTAATATAGGCCCTAAGCCTGGGGTCTGGAAAGGAGCAGGCTGTATGAGCCCACCCTCACCACCACGAGCTATCAGAGAGCACAGCCAAGCAGAAGGCTTCAGAGCCAGAGAGAGAAGCTGGCCAGGAACTATAAGGTGGAGAGTCCTATAGCTGGGCAAAATATGGGTGGACGGGTCGTCCCTAAACAGGGCAAAGGTGAGCAAGGTGACTGGTTGGAGGGAAGGTATATGACAGATGAGGAGGAAGGGGGCCAAATAAGGCCGGAGGAGACTTGCTTGGTTTGAGAGCTTCAAGCCACCTCCCTCCCCAGATGGACATGGAATTTATTCAGTCACAAGTGACCCTGGCCTAGCAAGGAACCAATCACAGTGTCCAAAGACATTTACAAACTGATGCCAACTTGAGAGCTTCTGTGCGTACAAATCCACACACCCAATACACACACACAGACATATACACACACAAACATTCTTCATCAGAAGAGAATAAGTGTGTGAATTCATACGGCCTGATCCTGACCAGCAGGGAATATTTCTATACCCCGAAGAACCACACAGCTGGCTTGATATCAGCTTTGTAATTTTGAGTAAGCCCTAGGCCTGCCGATCCCTGGTAAGTTCATCTCTAAGAAAGCAACCTGGGAAGCCCTTTCCTTCCACTAACCTTCAAGAAGACGTGGACCGATTTGAATATATCAATTGGTCTAGCTTTGACAAAGGGTTGAAGTGGCTGCCCTGACATTTCATGGGAGATGTCACCAATGCTACTGTATGACCACAGAGGAGACCAATCTGAGCTCCTTAAATGGTTCGCCACTGTTGCCACTGAGCCTGTCACATGATAGAGTAAGCCTCCCCTTTCTAGGGACATACCAGCCCAAGCAGGGACTGTGGTCAGGAGTGCAGCCAGCCTCAAGATGGCAGATAAACCCATGATCTGAAGATCCTGCCAACACTGAGACTACCGTGGTGTGAGAGGTCCAGCCCAAAGTATAGTTGCCATTAGAGTCAAGATTCAAGACCCAAGGCCCCTTTGGGTGGAGCCTGCAGATAACAGGGGAAGCAGCTAGGAAGGGTGACCCCACCCCTGAGCTTGGAACCTGGCAGATCTGGCTGAGGAATGTAACAACCATCTTGTTATACCAGGCAGGGTTGTTTCTCCGAGATTCTCCGTGTGTAGTATGGACAGCCAGTAACCTCTCCATCCATCTCTGAATGTCAGTAAGCCCTGCCCTGGTAGGTGCCTGATATAGACACTCCTCAAGTCGACCCCTTCATCTTCTAGCCCTGAGATGGCCAGCATTGCCTGTCACCACAGCAAGAAAGTTCAGTGGTGTGTGTATGTGTATATTTATGGGTGTCTGTGTTGTGTGTGTGTGTGTGTGTGTGTGTGTGTGTGTGTGTGTAGGTGATATCAAATGTATGTGTGTATGCGCATATGTGTGTTGAGTGTGACTGTGTTTATATGTGTGCGTGTGTTGGGTGTGTGGGTTTGTGTATCCAGAGCCTCTCCTAATTGGCATCCATTTGCAAATGCCTTTGGCCGCTGTGACTGGCTCCTCGGCAGGCCAGGGCCCCTGGTGCCTGACCAACCTCCCAAGCATCCCTTGGTGCTCTGTTTAAACACATCGGAGATAAAAGCAGAGGCAAACTCTCCTCAGTGCACTTGCCATCGTTAATTAAATTACTCAAACATGCCTCCAGCACCAACTCGATTGCATTTCTCCTTTTCAAATCAGGTTAGCAATTTGGATAATTGTGGGTGCAACCAGAGATTAATGGTCCCTCGTTACCTCCCCAGAAACACTTGCTCATGGTTGAGTCGGTAGCCTGCAAATAGACAGGGTCAGGTCTGTGCCTCTCAGACACTCCAGACCCAGGCGCAGGGTAGCAGCTGCTCCACAGGGCTCCTCACTGCATACAAACACACACACACACACACACACACACACACACACCATGCCGATGTCTGCCTCCTTTACATCAGGGAGAGGGAAATACCACCGGCTAATGAAGACATGGGCTGTGCTTTGAAAGGGGCCTAGCTCTAGAGTCTCAGCTCTACCACTTAGCTGAATGACCTTGGAAAGGGCCCTTGACCTTTATAAGTCTCAATTTTCCTCATCTGCAAAATGGGGACAAATGAGAAGGAGTACTTGCCTTATAGATTTACAGTGAAGGGATGCATGGAACATTCTTGATATAGACTAGTCTATGAATGCCATTATCACCTTCACTATTATCATTCATTATCATCATTATTACCATATGCATATGCAGGAAACACCTAGCTCAGTGCCAGACACCCAGACGGTTTGCAACAACAAGGAGGACAAGAAGGTTCCCAAGACAGCAAGGAGAGCACCTCCAGAGGTATATCAGGCCAAAGGGAGAAAGAACTGGGTTCTCAGAAGGCCTGGGGCATTTATGAAGCAAGAATTGTTCAGGGGAGAACAACCTGGGAGGAGCAAGGATTCTGAGGTTCTTGGAGTTTCCAGAGCCTCTTGGCCATCCCAGCATCCCCTCCCCCTATCATCGTGAGTGCTGAAATACAATCAGTGGAGTTGTAATTAATGTCGTATACCCAAGATGGCTTCCAAACACCGAAGCAGATCAGCCCTCCAAAACCGAGGCAGGGAGATTAGAAAACACAAAAAGGTGTGGGTCTCCTTTCTTTGTCATTTGTATGAGACATCTTGATTGGCAAGGAAATATTAATCACTTTTTCACTACTCTCTTAATGAGACGCTTTCATGGGCAACAAAATATTAATTTGTCTTGTCTTATCTGTTAAGAATTCTGTTAATGAATTCAGTCACAGAGCTATTAGAGAATGCCGTCCTAATGACACATGTAATTAAACTTTTCTGACTTGCAAACATCAAAGATGCCTTGCGCATCAGAATAATATTTGATCAGAAAGTCAATGTTCCCCTCTAGCCCGGAGGCAAGCGAGGAGCCGCCTGCACTCTGCAGAGAGCGACTTCTGTCAGAAGCCCCGTGCTTGCCAGTCATCATTTCCACATTGATTCCCTCACTAAGTGCCAGTGAGTGAGAGAGCTCCGTGCTGGGGGCCCAGAGTAAAGATGCTGTCCCCAGTACAAAGGGTGGGAAGGAGTGGTGGGACTTCAACAGACACCTGTTGGAAGGGCTGCAGAAAGGAACGGGCCTGGCTGGGACTTCCTGTGAGCAGGATAAGCAGGAGAGAGGAGTAGAAAGGCCCCAGTTGGGGACAGACCCCAAAGGGCCTTTAATATTACTCCATAGACTCAGGGGAATTATTGGGTCTTGATCAGGAAGTAATGTGATCAAATATAGCTGTTTCACTGGACCTTCTAATGTAACATTGGGGTTAAGAGCCCCAAGTAACATGGGACCCAGAATAGGAGAAAGGTCCATGGCTACCCTTGGGTCCTTCCCCTTTCAGATGTCCAATTCAGAGTGGCCACGGTGGCTCCTGCCCCGAGTCCCCTCCCTTCACAGTATTTTCACCTTGTCAGAAAGTCCAGCCTGGACCTTTCAGAGCCTCTGAGGACGCCCACACCAGTGTGTAGCTTCAGCCTCACCCCAAGCAGCTTGTAACAGCAGGCGATCCCCAAAGGAGGTCCCCCACACCCAGAAGAGGCGGCTGCTTGGGGTGCTAGCCGCAGCACCCCCTTAAAGGAGGCGCCTGGGTTACTGTGTGCCTGTACTGTGTGACAGTACTGTGTGACAGTACTGTGTACTGTCAGCCTGAAGAGAAATGGATGGTTTCCGCTCCACCCCGTGGTCCCTGGAGTCCATAACACACAGCCTGGAATTGAGTTACCTCCTGGCCACCTATTGGTTTCTTTACTGAAGCAGCCATCTTTCTCTGTGGGTCTCAGATCCGGCCCTGTGCTCCACTCACCTCAGCCCTCGGGGACCTACGACCACTGTCACTCAGAAGCTATCTTCTTGAGTCAGGCTGCCCCTAGGAGTGATAGAGCCTGATAGAGGAATAAGAGAAAACCTTGCCCCCCACCAAGCCACGCCATGGTGCCCCCACAGACCATCCCACTGTGGATACCAGAAGTAAGAATTCCAGTAAGAGGCAAGTGCTGTCACTCACAAAATGCCAGTAATAGGTGTCTCCCAGAAGCCGGAGCCCATGGTTGGGTGTTCATCCTGGAGGAAGTTGCTCTGCCCAGACACTACACTATCTTAGGATGCTGAAAGCTACCTATTGCTGTAGTGTCCCATCAGGAAGGGGGCAGGAAGGTTCTTCCTGAGGTCAGTGATGAAGGAGCCACTAGGGACTCTGAGTTGTTTTTGTTTTTTTGTTTTTTTCCTGGACCTCCACAGAAGCCAGGCAAGCATCTCTCGTCCTTGCCTAGATCACAAAGGATCCACGTCTCACCCTTCCCTGGCCTGCTCTTCCTGCACCGTCCCATCTCCTCGAGGCTCAGAGCCAGGCTTTGGGGCTAAGCTGGCGTCTGTGTCAAAGAGAGATGCCACTCCCAGCCCTATACTGAGCATTGGAGGTGGGGTGGGCTGCTGAACACTGCCTCACTTTCCGCAGGAACCAAACATGCAAACCCACTCTGGACCACTCCAGGCCATGTGAGGGACACCCCAAACCCAGTCTATATCACTCCCTGAACAGTATCACTTGTCCTCTACCTCATGACTTCTGCACTCTCCTTATCAGCCAAAGGGTCATGGCACCTGCCCAAGGAGGGGACAGAAACAGGGACAGGGCA